CCTAAATTTGAAACTACCCAAAGTCCCAGCCTCAATAACCCAACTAGGTAGACTGTTCCACTCATCTACTACCCTATTTCCAAACCAATACTTTCCTATGTCCTTTCTAAATCTAAACTTATCTAATTTAAATCCATTACTGCAGGTTCTCTCTTGGAGAGACATCCTCAAGACCTTATTAATATTCCCTTTATTAATACCTATCTTCCACTTATACACTTCGGTCAGGTCTCCCCTCATTCTTCGTCTAACAAGTGAATGTAACTTAAGAGTCTTCAATCTTTCTTCATAAGGAAGATTTCTAATGCTATGTATTAATTTAGTCATCCTACGCTGAATGTTTTCTAATGAATTTATGTCCATTCTGTAATATGGAGACCAGAACTGAGCTGCATAATCTAGGTGAGGCCTTACTAATGATGTATAAAGCTGCAGTATGACCTCTGGACTTCTGTTGCTTACACTTCTTGATATAAATCCCAGTAATCTATTTGCCTTATTACGTACGCTTAGGCATTGCTGTCTTGGTTTAAGGTTGCTGCTCACCATAACCCCCAAGTCCTTTTTGCAATCTGTATGGATAAGTTCTACATCATTTAACTTATAAGTACAGTGGACCCCCGGTTAACGATATTTTTTCACTCCAGAAGTATGTTCAGGTGCCAGTACTGACCGAATTTGTTCCCATAAGGAATATTGTGAAGTAGATTAGTCCATTTCAGACCCCCAAACATACACATACAAACGCACTTACATAAATACACTTACATAATTGGTTGCATTCGGAGGTGATCGTTATGCGGGGGTCCACTGTACTAGGGTTATGGGCACTCCCAAGCTTCAGAACCTTGCATTTATCTACATTGAACTGCATCTGCCACTTTTCTGACCAAGAATAGAGTTTGTTTAAATCCTCCTGAAGTTCCATAACATCTACGTTTGAATCAATTATCCTACCTATTTTTGTGTCATTGGCGAATTTGCTCATATCACTAGTAATTCCCTCATCAAGATCATTGATATATATTATAAACAACAACGGGCCCAAGACTGATCCCTGTGGAACGCCACGTGTTACAGATCCCCACTCGGATTTAACCCCATTTATGGACACTCTCTGCTTCCTGTCAGTGAGCCATGACTCGATCCACGAGAGCACTTTTCCCCCAATGCCATGAGCTGCCACTTTCTTTAACAGTCTATGGTGCGGAACTCTATCAAAAGCCTTACTAAAATCTAAGTAAATAATATCAAATTCTTTATCGTGGCCAACAGCCTCAAAAGCTTTACTGAAGAAAGTTAATAAATTAGTTAGACAAGACCGGCCTCTTGTGAATCCATGCTGAGTATCATTAATCAAGCTATGCTTATCGAGATGACTTCTCATAATCTCAGCTATAATTGACTCTAGTAATTTGCCTACAATTGAGGTCAGGCTTATTGGGCGGTAATTTGACGGTAACGACTTGTCCCGTTTTAAAAATAGGAATTACATTAGCCATCTTCCACATATCAGACACTACACCTGTTTGAAGAGATAAATTAAAAATATTAGTTAATGGTTCACAGAGTTCCATTTTGCATTCCTTAAGAACCCTTGAAAAAACCTCATCAGGACCCAGCGACTTATTTTGCTTCAGTCTATCTGCTTCACAACCATTTCACTAGTGACTGTAATGTTACATAATTTATCTTCTTCTAGCCCACTATAAAAATTAATTACTGGAATATTGTTAGTGTCTTCCTGTGTAAAAATGGAGAGAAAATAATTATTAAAAATCGAGCACATTTCATTCTCTTTGTCAGTAAGGTGCCCATAGTTATTTTTAAGGGGATCTATCTTATCTCTAACTTTTGTTCTATAGACCTGGAAAAAACTTTTTGGGTTAGTTTTAGAATCCCTAGCAACTTTAATTTCATAGTCCCTTTTAGCTTTTCTTATCCCCTTTTTAATATCCCTCTTAATGTCAATATGCTGATTCATAAGATGACCCTCACCTCTTTTGATACGCCTATAAATTCCTTTCTTATGCCCTAGTAGATATTTTAGCCTATTATTCATCCATTTTGGGTCATTTCTATTTGATCTAATTTCTTTATATGGGATAAACGTTCTTTGAGCAGCATGTATAGTGTTCAGAAAACTGTCATATTGATAGCTCACTTCGTTACCCCAGTCAACAGATGATAAGTGTTCTCTAAGCCCATCGTAATCTGCTAAGCGAAAATCTGGGACTGTTACTGAGTTATCGCTACTATCGTACTTCCATTCAATGCTAAATGTAATTGATTTGTGGTCGCTAGCACCCAGTTCCTCTGAAATTTCTAAATTATTAACAAGGGATTCATTGTTTGCCATAACTAAGTCAAGCAGGTTATTTCCCCTTGTAGGTTCTGTCACAAACTGCTTCAAAAAACAATCCTGAACTACCTCTAAGAAGTCATATGATTCTAAATTCCCAGTCAAGAAATTCCAATCAATATGACTAAAGTTAAAGTCTCCTAGAATTACTACATTATCGTGCCTTGTGGCCTTAACAATTTCCTCCCATAGTAGTCTCCCTTGGTCCCTATCTAAGTTTGGGGGACGGTATATCACTCCTAAAATCAGTTTTTCATGCCCCATGTGGCTCCAGGTTTTCCCAATCAGTCTCCCTGCAGTTGAAATTGCCCATAACTAGTAACTTTGATCTACTCGAGTGAACTCTTCTGGCCACCTCAGCTAGTGTGTCCACCATTGTTCTGTTGCTCTCTTCATATTCCTCTCTTGGCCTCCTGCAGTTCTGTGGCAGGTTATACATCACTGCAATGACTACCTTATGTCCCCCAGACTGAATTGTACCTACTATGTAATCCCTTTCTCCAATCTCGTCCATTCCTTCCATTTCCTGAAATCCCCATCGTTTTTTAATGAGCAGTGCAACCCCTCCTTTCCCTCTGTTCCTTCTATCTTTCCTCAAGATCCGATATTCGGGTGGGAAGATTGCATCTGTTATCATCCCAGTGAGTTTTGTTTCTGTGACTGCTATGATGTCTGAGGACATCTCCTTGATTCTTTCATGCCATTCCTCACATTTATTCATTATTCCATCCAAGTTCGTGTACCAAACCTTCAACTTCTTATCTAAAACTGTGATCTGGGGAGTTTGGGGGAGCAGGTGCCCTGGTGGGGGGCCTATAGGGGGTTGCTGTGGGGGTAGGTGTAGAGGGCCTGTGGGGGTTTGTGATTAGGGGGATGGGGGCAGAGGGTAGTGTGTGGGTTTTGGCTTAGATTGTTTGCTTGCATTGGGGTTGCCGTGGTTGGATTCCTTCTGTGGGTGGTTCTAGAGGAGGTTGTGTTTGCTCTTCCACCTGGGTGTGTAAGTTTATTTAGGTACAGATACACATAAGTACAATTATCAGCAGTATCTCAGTATTATCTCAACCACAGACATACCTTGCTCATTGCATTTATTAATTTCTAACTTTGCACTTAATTAAAGTAAGGGCCTAACAACTCCTCTTTTTATCACAACTACCCTTAGATGTCATTGTAACACAAAATGAGTATAATAAAATGTGTAATAACTTTAAAACACTTGAAACTTTGGAAAGTTTCCAGACATATTTGGGAGAGAAGCAGAGCTCACAGAGGATGTCAGTAAACTGTGAGTTGAGGGGTGGCATGTGGATGCCGTAATTGCAGATCAGGAGCCATATAAATAAATTTTTGGGTATAATTTGAATTGTCCATATTAGCGAATCACCGTAAAGTGGGCCCTCCTGTACATACTTGTATTTAGGTACATTTTCCTATGTGAAATTTATTGTCTGTAACATTTTTGAGAAAAGATTATAAGAGTTACAAAATAAGAAAATGTTATTTAAAAGGCAAGCTTAATTCCTTTACTGAAATTGTGTATACTACATGTATATAAAAAGATAATGCTAAGTTGTCTGCTAGTCTTGTCAGTATTTTTTTAGATGCTTGTTTCTATATTTCTGCAGTGTCTGATGAGAGTTCTGTAATTATTTAGAAAGAATGCACTAGTATTAGTATTATACCATCTTCAGAATCTAGAAAGTGACTCAGAGATGTTTAATATTTTAGCTTTTATGAAGAACACATAAGTGTACATGATGAAATACATTGGAATAAAATGACACAAAGCAGTATGGAGATTATAACAGTGCACTGTATTTTGCCTTATATTCAGTCTTTTTCAAGTCAGTAAACAAAAAGTTTCATAAATTATACAGCAGAGAGGAAAGTAAGCAAGGTGTGATGCAGGTAACTGGTCCCTACAGGTTACTGCAGTTTACAGTCACCCACTGTTCCTCTTCACTCTTCTCTCCGCTATATGCACTCTCAAATCTATGAATTGTTTACTGATTTGAAAAAGCTTGAATATGAGGCAAAATGTTTTCGGAAACACGGTTTCTCTACTGCTTTAAAGTTTCTCATTTTATTCCAACCTGTCATTATTCACAAAATTTTCATCGAACATGAATTATGCTTCTGAATGTCCATCTTAGCATCTCCTGATTGTTTGCCAGCTGCCTGACTGATGTTGACCTCAAGCACCTGCAGTTTCGTGAATGACTGAAATACCTGTACACAGTTTTAAAATCCTCTATCAAAAGAAAAATTAAGTGTATTAATGCCCTGAGATATAGGTGGCCATAGTTCTGTGGTAATGAGCTTTCCCCTGAAACACTAGGAAGTAATCCATAGGTTGCATCGCTTTCTGAAGATCCTATATTGAATAAGTTTTTTTTTATTAGCTTCCTTGCAGTTTAACTGAGCATGGTACATTTATTAAGGATGTTTGTATTGAGAGGATATGATATATAACATTTAATGGACAGGAGGTAAGATATCGTTATTAGGAAATATTAATTGAATTTGTGTATATCCTGTAGTATAAAAAAATCTGCATGTCTAGGTTTAGAAAAGTCTTTATCATTTCCTGTACTAATATTTCTTTCCAACTTCATATCCCCTGGCTTGGTATTGACAGTGGCGACCTGTATGTCTCTGGGCAGCACTTCACAGTACAAGGGGTATGACCGTGCCTTTTGCATTCGTATGAAATCTACACTTACTAAGAGAGGATGCCACTTTAAGTCTTCAGGTTATAGGGTAAGTTCATTTAATGTCAGCTCAATTACAGATCTTTCTACAATATCTTATTGTGAATAAAATTGTCCAATATTCTCTATATACACAAATTATTATTATAATCAAAAAGAAGCGCTAAGCCACAAGGACTATACAGCAGTGTATATACACAAAGCAGTTACTGTATTTGTCTTTTTACCAACAGAAATAAAAGGCCTTGACATAATACAGTAGAACCCCCATAGCCACTGATTCGGTATCTGTGGCTTCCGTTATCCACAGTTTACTGTGGCGCAAAAATACCTCTTAATTTTGCATAGTAATGGCCCCAAAACATTAAAATAGAAAAGCTGGCAGTTCTTCATAGCCTAAGAGAAGCTGTGAAGTGTTTCCCATAAGTGAAAAAGTGATAATTCTCCAAGTTTTGTGCATAATTTATCAATTAAACTTCATAATAGGTATGTATAGGAATTATGTATAGGGTTTGCTACTATCCCCAGCATATATAGGGATCCTACTGTACTTAAATCTCAGACTATCAGGGAAGCTACTTTGTACAATAAAATATCCCTTATAAGAGGGTAAAAAAGAATGGTAGACAGTGCAAACTACTAACATAGGTAGAGCAATATGCAATAAACTAAAAAAAAGAAAAAAAACTCGCTAAGTATACAGGGTTCACAGCTCGGAACACACTTTAGGTGCTGCTGTCAACAACAGCCCCTCTCACAATCCACAGACATTTCTTTCCAAATTTAAGCTGCAGTACTCTCCTCATCCAGCATACTAATCCAGCAAAAATTTAGACAGTGTAACATGGACATTCAGGAAGAGCTTGAGCCCCAAGCTCATAATTGTCTTGAAGGATCTAGAAAAATTCCTTCAGTCCATGACCAGTTCGACTGTATAGAATAGTAGTTTTCCTAATTATTATGTGGAGTCCCCTTAATGTTTAATATTCATCAGCTGTATGACCCGTACCAATTTGGTGCTCTTCTTTTTTCAAATAATATAATACCCTGGAAGTTGAAAATTTGCGTTTGGTATCATTTTTGCAGGTTGTTTTGATCTTGGGTCACTTACGACCCCAATATGTCTTCAGTCACTCCCGCAAGAATCCTCCGCAGTTGATGGGTTTGGTTGCTCTTGCTATTGCACTCCCCCCACCTTCAGTTCATGAAGTTCGGCTTGAGTCTGATATGTTTGTTACCAGGATAACCTTTGACTTCAGAATAGCACACTGCGAACCAAAGTAAGTCATTACGGTTTCATTATTATTATTAGTTCTGAGCTAGTAATGTTCACACAATCCAGTGTTCCCACATTCTTACAAGTAATTTCATACATTCATTATTTATTATTTTTGTGGACAATTCTTGATGGTAGATGAAATTAAATTAAACTAATATCTTCAAATTTGTTTATGAATTTTTCTAATGAATGTAGTACCTGTACTAGTGATGCAGAAAAAAAAATTAAAACATGTACTATAACATTTCTCAGGGTAGCAGAATTGCTAGACTATACACCTGATGAGCTACAAGGACGATCATTGTACTCCCTGTGTCATGGTCAAGATGTTGAAAAACTACGCAAGACGCACGTTGACTGTGAGTACACATAAGTTGCATTTTCTTGTTGCCTGGATATAAACCAGGTGCTGCATCAGTATGCCAGTGAAATGAGAGTAAAACAATATTTTCTTCAATTACTCATATTTTTTCACCCTGGCTACTCTTATTGCAGTATTATCCAGTGTTCTATTTTCTCCAACATATTTCCATATCATAAAATAATTTTCTCCAATACCTTCTCTATTTTTTTTCCTTAAGCATTTCCCTCAATTCCAGTGCCCTGTACTTTCTCCCTTGTGTATACTTGCCAAAGAAATCTTTATTTCATCTATAGGTACTATACTTGCTTCTCATTATAAATAAATGACTGATTCTTGTGAATGACAATGCAACTTGATCAGTACTGAATAGTATGTGGAAAATCCTGAGACACACAAGTTCTCTGTTACAAGGGTCTTAACTTCTAAAGTTTTTAGAAATTTCTATTAAGTCTACAAATCTTCAGCAACACATGGAGAACTGCCAGGAGAAACAAGGAGAACAACAATAATTAATCTCCCATATTACATACAAGTAATTTTAAGATCACTTGTACTAAAAATGCATTACAATCTTAGCAGAATTTCATTTTGCAGGATATATATAGAAAAGCAGTACTTCATATTATGAATGGAAATAAAAATAACCATTATCTGTGAAAGATTTTTTTTTTTTAAGATTCTCTCTGATGTTTTCAGTGATCCAGAAAGGCCAAGTTATGAGTCCATACTTCAGGATACTGAATAAGATGGGCGGCTACACGTGGATGCAGACCTGTGCAACTGTTGTTGTAAACAATAAAAATGGCGATGAACAAAATATCATCTGTGTTAATTACGTCATAAGGTAGTAATTTGTTTTACACAGTATGTATTTTAGAATCTCCATGGGGAAGTGGGATGGAATTATTTCCCCTTAAGCCATACATGTCGTAAGAGGCGACTAAAATGCCTGGAGCAAGGGGCTAGTAACCCCTTCTCCTGTATGTATTACTAAATTTAAAAGGAAAAACTTTTGTTTTTTCTTTTCGGCCACCCTTCCTCAATGGGATACGGCCGGTTTGTTGAAAAGAAGTAGAACTAAGCTGGCATGGGCCATTAGGCTCACTGCAGTGCTCCAAAATCCACCTTCCCGGTAATGGAAGTGCCCTTGTAGCAAAGAATTAATTTGGCTAATATACTTACAAAATATTAAAGCTGCCAGTGTTCTGCACAAGTGTTGATAGTTGTAATCAAAGCACTTTCCAGATACAGTATCATCTTTTGGCTAGTTGTTCCCCATTGATGACTTCAGACATTAAAAAAGTTTCGATTCTGGAACCTTGATTACTTTTCATACTTCGAAATATATCCTAGTGTTTGCTCACTTGCCTTTTTAAACTAATTTGTTGGTATCAATTTAAAAGATTTATGACATTGTATTGGTTATTCAGATTATGGTGAATGCATTTTGCTGTTCTCTAATATGTTGCTACAAGCTTCCACATGTTCCTCCAACAATTTGTTTTTTATCCTCTGCATGGCATCACATATGCATGTTTTACAACTGGTGAATCTGATGGCTTTTGTCTTGATGTCCTTCTTCACAGCCTCCCATGAGGAGGATGTGAAAAACTTTGTTGGCAAAACATCCAGAGGCTTGGAGTAACATTTTAGAGAGCACTGAAACCCATGTAGCAGGGATGACCAACACAATTCCTTTGTCATCCCTTGTAATACTAACAACCATCTTGTGAAATTTAACTAAGCCAAACTCGTCAACAGTGAAAAGAACTAACCAAAAGATAATTTCTGGAAAAGGTTTTGATTACAACCACTAATACTATTACCCAGAACACTGGCAGCTTTATTATTTTGTAAGTCTTAGTAAAATTAATTCTTCGCCACAAGGACACAGCCATCACATAGAGGTTGAATTCTGGAGCACTGCAGTGGGTTTACTGGCCCATGTCAGCCAGGTCGCTCTACCTTTGTCTTGCCTTGCAGCTCTACTGGTCCTCCCTCTTTTCATCTCACCTCGACCACTCTGTAAACTCCACTTACAGTTATCTCTGCAAGACTGAAGAAACCATTTGTGGTGAAGCATTGTCCTCAGTAAAATATTATAATACTTGCACATGCATCTTATTTTACACTTGTCGGTATTTTATTCCATGTCTTATCTAGTAGTGAGATAGTAATGAAGAGAAACAGATCAATTATGGTATTACTGATTAGTTTTAACACCACGCTCATCTCCCGACATTAATATTAAATCGGCAAGGATATTCTATGTAATGACTGACAGAAATATGTTAAAACATGTATTAACATAACAGTGGTTGTGGCATATAGCACCTACTCTTCCATCCTATTCCAGTGCTTTACAACTCCTTTTGTGTAGGAAAATTTCAGAGTAAATTTATTTTCCTTTGTTTACAACTGTGGTTTCTTGTTCTCCCACTTATAGTGTTAAGAAGAATTATTTATCTGCTTTCAGGTCCCCTGCTGTATCTTTTTGCATTCTTGTATATGGTTATCATGCTTCTTACTGTGTCCTGTCTTTCCTATTACCCATTCTTCATAACTACATTCTTTTGTAGCACAGCCATATTGTATCATGTCTGTGAGCTAATATCATAATAGATAAAGAATTTCCAGGAAGATTTAGGCTATTTTTGTAAGTTTGTATTTTTCTGTAAAAATGTTTTCTATATAGTTTCCCTTTTCGTCATGGTTTTTCGTTAACTTTCCAGCAGGGCAGAATACGAAAGCTTAGTGTTAGACCAGACCCAGCTAGACCCAGCCCTGGCCAACATGAAGTCTGATGATTTAGATTACCAAAGCCCAGCCACACCCGAGCAAACAGGTCAGTACAAAAAAAAAAATCTAATTGTATTAACCTGTGGTTACTTGTCATTCTGATTTGTGCAGGCACTTTGTCCCATTATGAAATCTAGCACAGTTGTGGCTTTGGCAAGTAAAGTTTATCATTTATTACTCTGTGAGATGACCCATGTAGGTTTAGCAATTCTTTTTTTTATTATGATAATACTCTGTGGGCTCAGTTTTTCTTTTGTTCATCATACAGTTGAGTGAACACAAAAGTATTGCATTTTTTATATGTCAAATCTACTAACTTATTCAGTATGCATCTGTGACAGACTGCCAGTCTTGAAGCCCACAGCCTTTCCTGCTGTGTGAGCTGACTTATATCTAGCCAACTTTTCATAGACCTTCATTAAATATTTTCTGGTTATATAATATTCATAGTTTGGAGATGAGGTGCAGTTATTAAAAGTATTATCCAGAGGGCTGAGGAGGGGTTGTTGAGGTGGTTTGGTCATTTTAAGAGGATGGAGCAAAATAGGATGACTTGGAGGGTGTATAACTCTGTAATGGAGGGAAGGGGTTGTTTTAGGAAAGGATAGATGGAGGGGGTAAAGGTTTTGTGTGCAAGGGGCTTCAACATACAGCAGGCATATGTGAACTTGTTAAGGGTGGAGACAAATAGTTTCTGGGACTTGACGAGTTGTTGGAGTGTGAGCAGGGTAAACTTTTGTGATGCAATTCAGGGAAACCAGTTAGGTGGGCTTGAGTCTTGGAGATGGGAAGTACAGTGCCTGCACTCTAAAGGAGGGTTTTGAAATATTTGCTGTTTAGAGGAACATCTAAACTGTCGTATCTGTGCATCTCTTGTAAAACTGACAGTGTGAATAATGATGAGTTTTTTTTTTTGGGGGTCACCCTGCCTTAGCAGGAGACAGCCAGCATGTTACATATAAATACAGTGGACCCCCGAGTTTCATGATTAATTCATTCCAGAGAGTCTGCTGAAAGTCGAAATTCACGAATTCATTCTATTGAGGACATTAGTGCACTCCAGGATGATTTGAACAGACTGATGCAGTGGTCGGAGAAGTGGCAGATGCGGTTTAATATAGACAAATGCAAAGTGCCAAATGTTGGACAGGACATTAACCATGCCACTTATAAACTGAATAGTGTAGATCTTAATACAGTGGACCCCCGCATACCGATTTTAATCCGTGCAAGAGGGGTCATTGGTATGCGAAATAATCGGTATGCGAATGAATTTTCCCCATAAGAAATAATGGAAATCAAATTAATCCGTGCAAGACACCCAAAAGTATGAAAAAAAAATTTTTTTACCACATGAAATGTTAATTTTAATACACACAAACTGAAAAAGGCATGCACACTTACATGACACTTACTTTTATTGAAGATCTGGTGATGATTGATGGGATGGGAGGAGGGGAGAGAGAGTGTTAGTGTTTAGAAGGGGAATCCCCTTCCATGAAGACTTGAGGTGTCGAGTCCTTTTCTGGGGTTACTTCCCTTCTTCTTTTAATGCCACTAGGACCAGCTTCAGAGTCACTGGACTTCTTTCGCACAACATATCTGTCCATAGTGGCCTGTACCTCTCATTCCTTTATGACTTCCCTAAAGTGTTTCACAACATTGTCAGTGTACAGGTTGCCAACACGGCTTGCAATAGCTGTGAGGGTGATTTTCATCAAAAAAGGTTTGCACTTCAAGCCACTTTGCACACATTTCCTTAATCTTTGTAGTAGGCAACTTCTTCAATTTCTCTCTCCCCTCCTCTGAACCAGTTTCCTCAGGTCTGGCCTCTTGCTGTTGAAGTTGATCTATCAGCTCATCAGTGGTTAGTTCTTCATTGTCCTCCTCCACCAACTCTTCCACATCCTCCCCACTAACCTCCAACCCCAAGGACTTTCCCAATGCCACAATGGATTCCTCAACTGGCATAATCCTCTCAGGGTTAGCCTCAAACCCTTCAAAATCCCTTTTGTCTACACATTCTGGCCACAGTTTCTTCCAAGCAGAGTTCAAGGTCTTCTTAGTCACTCCCTCCCAAGCCTTACCTATAAGGTTTACACAATTGAGGATATTAAAGTGCTCTCTCCAAAACTCTCTTAGAGTCAGTTGAGTTTCTGAGGTCACTACAAAGCACCTTTCAAACAGAGCTTTTGTGTACAGTTTTTTGAAGTTTGCAATAACCTGCTGGTCCATGGGCTGCAGGAGAGGAGTGGTATTAGGAGGCAAAAACTTGATGTTAATGAATTTCATGTCCCCATAAAGTCGCTCTGCCACGTCTGTAGGATGACCAGGGGCATTGTCTAACACCAGGAGGCACTTAAGTTCTAATTTTTTTTTCAGTTAGGTAATCTTTCACATTGGGGGCAAATGCATGGTGTAACCAGTCATAGAAAAAGTCCCTAGTGACCCATGCCTTACTGTTTGCCCTCCACAGCACACACAAATTCTCCTTGAGGACATTCTTTTGCCTGAACGCTCTGGGAGTTTCAGAGTGATACACTAATAAAGGCTTAACTTTGCAATCACCAGTAGCATTGGAACACATCAACAAAGTAAGCCTGTCTTTCATAGGCTTATGTCCTGGGAGTGCCTTTTCCTCCTGAGTAATGTAGGTCCTGCTTGACATTTTCTTCCAAAACAGGCCTGTTTCATCACAATTAAACACTTGTTCAGGTTTCAGTCCTTCAGTCTCTATGTACTCCTTGAATTCATGCACATATTTTTCAGCCGCTTTGTGGTCCGAACTGGCAGCCTCACCATGCCTTATCACACTATGTATGCCACTACGCTTCTTAAATCTCTCAAACCAACCTTTGCTGGCCTTAAATTCACTCACATCAGCACTAGTTGCAGGCATTTTTTTAATTAAATCCTCATGCAACTTCCTAGCCTTTTCGCTTATGATCGCTTGAGAGACGCTATCTCCTGCTAGCTGTTTTTCATTTATCCACACCAATAAGTCTCTCAACATCTTCCATCACTTGCGATCTTTGTTTCGAAAACACAGTTAAACCTTTGGCAAGAACAGCTTCCTTGATTGCCTTTCTGGTGCCCACAATAGTAGCGATGGTTGATTAGGGTTTCTTGTACAACCTGACCAGGTCGGCGATACGCACTCCACTTTCATACTTATCAATGATCTCTTTCTTCATCTCTATTGGAATTCTCACCCTTATTGCTGTAGGGTTGGCACTAGAAGCTTTCTTGGGGCCCATGGTCACTTATTTTCCAGAAAAAGCACCGAAAACACTGTAATAATACGAAATATTCCGATTGTATGCTTGGATGTTACCGCGGAGGCTGGCTGGTAAACAATGCCACCGGCGGCACATGTGAGGCTGGCTGAGGGCGCACATTGGACATGTCTCGGACGAACATCGGTGAGCGGGTTTTTAAGCGGTATGCGAGGCAAAATTTTTGCGATTAAAGCAAGCAGTATGCGGATTAATCGTTATGTGATGCCAACGGTATGCGGGGGTCCACTGTACTACTGACTGCGAAAAGGATTTAGGAGTTCTGGTTAGCAGTAATCTGAAACCAAGACAACAGTGCACAAGTGTTCGCAATAAAGCTAACAGAATCCTTGGCTTCATATCAAGAGGTATAAATAATAGAAGTCCTCAGGTTGTTCTTCAACTCTTTTTATCCTTGGCCTCATTTACATTATGCTGCACAATTCTGGTCACCATATTACAGAATGGATATAAATGCACTGGAAAACGTACAGAGGAGGATGACAGAGTTGACCCCATGTATCAGAAATCTTCCCTATGAGGATAGACTGAGGGCCCTGATTGAGGTGTATAAATGGAAAACAGGAATAAATAAAGGGGATGTAAATAGCGTGCTGAAAATATCCAGCCAAGACAGGACTCGCAGCAATGGCTTTAAGTTGGAAAAGTTCAGATTCAGGAAGGATATAGGAAAGCACTGGTTTGGTAAGAGTTGTGGATGAGTGGAACAAACTCCTGAGTACTGTCATAAATGCTAAGACGTTGTGTAGTTTTAAGTGGCTTTTGAGAAGTCTTAAATTGATTTTCAGACTGGGTTACTTTAATATCTTCTGGTAATGAATTCCATATTTTAGGGCCCTTTATGTGCATAGAGTTTTTACACAGTGTGATATGGACACGAGGTATATCAAAAAGTGATCTGTGTCTTATGTTGTGGTCATGTGTCCTGTTTTGGTTGGTGAGGAGAAGTTTGAGTGGAGGGTTTATATTTGTGTGTATTGTTCTGTGTATGTAGTAGGCACATGAATAAGTATGGATGTTCTTAATGGTGAGCAGATTCAGACTTTTGAAAATTGGTGGAGTATGCTGGCAGAAGTGGGAATTTGTTATTCTTACTCCTGCCTTTTGCTGGGTTATTAGGGGTTTTAGGTCATTGGATGTTGTTGATTCCCATGCACAAATTCCATATGTAAGATAAGGGTATATGAGTGAATGGTACAGTGCCAGGAGAGCTGATTGTGGAACGTAGTACCTTATCTTTGATAGTATGCCTACAGTCTTGGTGATTTGTAGTATGTGTGTCTGGAACTTAAGGCTACTGTCAAGGTGGATACCTAGGAATTTTCCCTCTGCGAGTCTTGTGACTGATGATCTGTTTAGCGTTATGTTAATTGGATCATTTGCAGCTTTGTTTCCAAACTGAATGAAATAGGTTTTATCAGAGTTCAGGGTAAGTTTGTTAGTCATCATCCAGGCAGATATTTTCTGTAAATCAGCACTGACTGTGTTTGCTAGTATGATTGTGTTTGGGTGGGCAAAGACATATGTAGTGTCATCTGCAAATTTGGGCTTGAGTAGCTGTGCCCCTCAAGGAAGGTTCCTTGATGTTGGTGAGGGGCTCTTGATTTAGGGAATTGGATGTGCTCCAGTTCCCCAAATTAAGCCTGAATGCCTTCCACATCCCCCCCCAGGCGCTGTATAATCCTCCGGGTTTAGCGCTTCCCCCTTGATTGTAATAATAATTGAGTAGCTGTGATGCATTCGGTAGATCATTGATGTAGATGAGAAAGAGGAGTGGTCCAAGGACACTTCCCTGTGGGACTCCTGTGATTGGTTGGGTGGAAGAGTTTGCATCATTTGTATACACATTTAGTTCTAAGGTATGATTTTAGGTAGAGGGAGTGGCCTCTGATACCATAGTGCGTTAATTTGGAGTACAGCAGTTCATGGTCGACTGTATCGAAAGCTTTACTTAAATCAATGAAAATGCATAGCAGGACTTCTTTCTTTTCAAGTGCGGTATATATTAGTTCTAGCATGTGTATGATAGCATCATTTGTGCTTTTATTATTCCTGAATCCAAACTGACAAGGGTTTAACATATTGTGTGAGACGAGGTAGGAATAGATCCGTCTATGAATTAATTTTTCAAAGATTTTAGAGAGCAGTGGTAAGTTAGATATTAGTCTATAGTTATTCAAGTCAGCTTGGTCACCTCCTTTATGGATTGGAGTGACCCTCGCTATTTTGAGGATTGTTGGGAAGGTAGATGATTCAATGGATTTGTTAAAGAGCCTTGCAATAATTGGTGACAATACTTGAGAAGCTTTTTTTTGTACATAAAAGCAGGAAAGTTGTTAATGTCTCCTGCCTTGTTTTTAAGGGCGTTTATGATGAGCGTAACTTCTATGGGGTTGGTTGGAGCTAGGAATAGCCTATTTGGGTAGGTACCTATGAGGTAGTCTAATGGACGGGTGTTTGCGCCTGGTATTTTGTTCACTAGATTTTTTCCTATGGTGGAGAAGAAAACATTGAGTCTGTTTGCCATTTCAGTTGGAGCGAGTAGGGGTTCTTCTGATTTTGTTAGTTTGATTGTTTTGTTTTTGGATAACTTTTTAGTTCCAAGAATTTCAGATAGAGTTTTCCAGGTTTTTTTCATATCACCTTTGATACTTCTGGGTGTCTGCAACAAATTAATTGGATTTACATTATTTCTTATGGGGAAAATGGATTCGAAAATTGTCAATTTCGATAATAATCACACTTCCAGGAACAGATTAATTACGAAAAACGAGGGACCACTGTGTGTGTGTGTATATGTATATATATCCTAGGTTGGTAGACAGCAACCGCCCAGGGAGGTACTACCGTCCTGCCAAGTGAGTGTAAAACGGAAGCCTGTAATTGTTTTACATGATGGTAGGATTGCTGGTGTCCATTTTTCTGTCTCATAAACATGCAAGATTTCAGGTATGTCTTGCTACTTCTACTTACACTTAGGTCACACTACACATACATGTACAAGCATATATATACACACCCCTCTGGGTTTTCTTCTATTTTCTTTCTAGTTCTTATTCTTGTTTATTTCCTCTTATCTCCATGGGGAAGTGGAACAGAATTCTTCCTCCGTAAGCCATGCGTGTTGTAAGAGGCGACTAAAATGCCGGGAGCAAGGGGCTAGTAACCTCTTCTCCTGTATATATTACTAAATGTAAAAGGAGAAACTTTCGTTTTTCCTTTTGGGTCACCCCGCTTCGGTGGGATACGGCCGGTGTGTTGAAAGAAAGATATATATATATATATTTATTTATGGATTTGTCAGTTAAAAATAGGAGAGGAGAGTTATTAAATGGAGAGTTAGAGGTATTGGGAAGATGGAGGGAATATTTTGAGGAATTGTTAAATGTTGATGAAGATAGGGAAGCTGTGATTTCGTGTATAGGGCAAGGAGGAACAACATCTTGTAGGAGTGAGGAAGAGCCAGTTGTGAGTGTGGGGGAAGTTCGTGAGGCAGTAGGTAAAATGAAAGGGGGTACGGCAGCCGGGATTGATGGGATAAAGATAGAAATGTTAAAAGCAGGTGGGGATATAGTTTTGGAGTGGTTGGTGCAATTATTTAATAAATGTATGGAAGAGGGTAAGGTACCTAGGGATTGGCAGAGAGCATGCAGAGTTCCTTTGTATAAAGGCAAAGGGGATAAAAGAGAGTGCAAAAATTATAGGGGAATAAGTCTGTTGAGTATACCTGGCAAAGTGTATGGTAGAGTTATTATTGAAAGAATTAAGAGTAAGACAGAGAATAGGATAGCAGATGAACAAGGAGGCTTTAGGAAAGGTAGGGGGTGTGTGGACCAGGTGTTTACAGTGAAACATATAAGTGAACAGTATTTAGATAAGGCTAAAGAGGTCTTTGTGGCATTTATGGATTTGGAAAAGGCGTATGACAGGGTGGATAGGGGGGCAATGTGGCAGATGTTGCAGGTGTATGGTGTAGGAGGTAGGTTACTGAAAGCAGTGAAGAGTTTTTACGAGGATAGTGAGGCTCAAGTTAGAGTATGTAGGAAAGAGGGAAATTATTTCTCAGTAAAAGTAAGCCTTAGACAAGGATGTGTGATGTCACCGTGGTTGTTTAATATATTTATAGATGGGGTTGAAAGAGAAGTAAATGTGAGGGTCTTGGCAAGAGGCGTGGAGTTAAAAGATAAAGAATCACACAAAGTGGGAGTTGTCACAGTTGCTCTTTGCTTGATACACTGTGCTCTTGGGAGATTCTGAAGAGAAGTTGCAGAGGTTGGTGGATGAATTTGGTAGGGTGTGCAAAAGAAGAAAATTGAAAGTGAATACAGGAAAGAGTAAGGTTATGAGGATAACAAAAAGATTAGGTGATGAAAGATTGGATATCAGATTGGAGGGAGAGAGTATGGAGGAGGTGAATGTATTCAGATATTTGGGAGTGGACATGTTAGCGGATGGGTCTATGAAAGATGAGGTGAATCATAGAATTGATGAGGGGAAAAGGGTGAGTGGTGCACTTAGGAGTCTGTGGAGACAAAGAGGGGAATGTATGAGAGTATAGTTTTACCAACGCTCTTATATGGGTGTGAAGCATGGGTGATGAATGTTGCAGCGAGGAGAAGGCTGGAGACAGTGGAGATGTCATGTCTGAGAGCAATGTGTGGTGTGAATATAATGCAGAGAATTCGTAGTTTGGAAGTTAGGAGGAGGTGCGGGATTACCAAAACTGTTGTCCAGAGGGCTGAGGAACGGTTGTTGAGGTGGTTCGGACATGTGGAGAGAATGGAGCGAAACAGAATAACTTCAAGAGTGTATCAGTCTGTAGTGGAAGGAAGGCGGGGTAGGGTCGGCCTAGGAAAGGTTGGAGGGAGGGGGTAAAGGAGGTTTTGTGTGCGAGGGGCTTGGACTTCCAGCAGGCATGCGTGAGCGTGTTTGATAGGAGTGAATGGAGACAAATGGTTTTTAATACTTGACGTGCTGTTGGAGTGTGAGCAAAGTAACATTTATGAAGGGGTTCAGGGAAACCGGCAGGCCGGACTTGAGTCCTGGAGATGGGAAGTACAGTGCCTGCACTCTGAAGGAGGGGTGTTAATGTTGCAGTTTAAAAACTGTAGTGTAAAGCACCCTTCTGGCAAGACAGTGATGGAGTGAATGATGGTGAAAGTTTTTCTTTTTCAGGCCACCCTGCCTTGGTGGGAATCGGCCAGTGTGATAATAAAAAAAAAAATTATTTATTTAACACATTTTTCTTTCATAGTATTTTTCATGAAATTTATCTTATTAGACCTGTTGCCTTAATAATCTTTAATCTCAAGCATTTTTTCTCCCAGAAGGCAGTTCCAGGGTAGTGGGTGAAGATACAGGCGGGTCCCCAAGGTCCTCCATCAACACCACAGGAGGGGGATCAGGGGGCACACGCTCTCCCACTGGCCAGTCAGAGCCAGTCTCCACGCCACTCCGAGGTACACCCAGTGTTCCCTTAGACGGGGCTCAGATTAAAACGGAGGTAATAACATTGTGATTAACACTGTATTAACAGGGTAGGTGATGGTGCACCCTGCATGAATAGGGTGAATATTTCCAATAGACCCCTTGTTTACCTGGAGAGTGTTCCGGGGGTCAACGCCCCCGCGGCCTGGTCTGTGACCAGGCCTCCTGCCTAAATTGGATATAGAAAATTAACATGCAAGTAGTGTCTAGAGAATATTCCTGATTTTCAAACGAGATTCCGTACAGTTAAGAGAAATTAAGTTATTTCACCTATGAAAGCACCCGAACTCCTCTCCAGGTATAAAGCACCACACAAAAATTGAAAGTACTATATCCAAGATCATTCCAGTTAAAAAAATAACGTAAAAATATTTACAGAACAGGGAGATGCTATACATATCATGGGGTTGCCTGTTCACCCCAAAGTCAGTAGAAATGGTGGTGACAAGCAAATCTCAAGCAATAGCGCCTTGAAGACTTACTGTAGTGAACCCTAAAGTTCTTTAATAATTACAAAGAGTAGCTACAAAATCTGTGCCTTTAAATTGTGAAGTTCACTTAAAGTAGCAAATGTATCTGGCAGTACTAGGACCAAGACTTTGCTAGATTATAGTATAACACATTTCACAATCATTGACTTTAATATTGTCACTTCATTATTTGTGGAAGAGTCATAAACAGGTGTTTAATTTGGTTGAGATATGAGAAATGCTTTGCATATACAGGTCGGCCATCACTGGGACCTGTAGTGTGCCGGATTACAGAGTGGTTAGGTTAGAATACACTTAATTAACCTGCTACATCTTGCTCGTTTTCATCACTGCTTTCTCCTCCACTGGTTTGATACTGTGGATATACAACCGTCTGCAAAATTTCAGAGTCAGTATAATGATGAAATTTGAAATTATGCTAGCCGAAATTAGTACCGAATTACACTGATGGAACCTGATTACTGATTGCTGGATTAGTGATGGCCACCCTGTATATATAAAAAAATGACACTGATGTGTCTTACAAATTGCACTCTCTAAGAATAGAGGATACAAAACATAACTAAAGTCTTCATGCTAAAAAAATAACTAGTGAGATATAGCATTTTACAGTTTTTTCAGATATGTAAAACTGTTAGAAATGATGTCAAAATATAATGGAAAGCCTAGATTTCAAAAATTCCTGTTAATGGTGTAAAGAAACTATTACTATTTTAATGTACATACCCTTTTATGACCTTATAATGTAAGGGGGTTATCACGTCTAAATTTGGAACTCCTATTTATTAGCTTTGAGAGCTATATATTGTAACTTTGCACTTCTATCTTATCCACTTTTATGCAGAACCCCCCCCCCACACCACTGATTCATATAACTAATTTTTCTATCGTACTTTGTCAACAGTTTTTCATAACTTTTCACTATTCATATATCTGGCATATGTGCTTCTCAATTTATACTGTTTTTTCCATTGGTAATCTTTTGCCTGTGATGTCATCTACATAACCTTCTCTGTCCAATGCTTAAAATACTTGATCACATGATCTTTTCACATTGCCTATAATTTCTTGATCCTATTTCCCCTTACATGACACCATCCCTCTCGTATTCCAATTGCTAAATTTTTTCTAGTCATCTTTAAAGATTTAATTATTGTTATTTTACATTTTTTCCTGTTTGACAGGTTACAGGCTAGTCTTTTTTAAGAAACTGTACAAATAAATTCAGTGTGCTAAAATAGTTTTCACGAATAGATTATACGTGTAATAAACTGATAGGTTTGATATATCCCATTGGCCAAAAAGTAAATTATCTGATAACAGGCTTTTGCTGAACTGTTTTAGCCACTTGAGTGGTATATTTCATTGTTTTTGTATCGGTGCTTCAGTAATACAGGCTTATAGTTTACAAGGTCTTATTATACACAGCTAAGGAAAAAATGGCTTTTGCATGCGAGTGCACCTGCCTTGGAGGGTAGCCCGAAAAAGAAAAACTTTCATCATTCACTCCATCAAAGTCTTGCCAGAGGGGTGCTTTACACTACAGTTATAAAACTGCAACGGTAACACCCCTCCTTCAGAGTGCACACACTGTACTTCCCATCTCCAGGATTCGAGTCCAGCCTGCCGGTTTCTCTGAATCCCTTCATAAATGTTACTTTGCTCACACTCCAACAGCGCGTCGAGTATTAAAAACCATTTGTCTCCATTCACTCCTATCAAATACGCTCACGCATGCTTGTTGGAAGTCAAAGCCCCTTGCACACAAAACCTTTACCCTCTCCCTCCAACCCTTCCTAGGCGACCCCTACCCTGCCTTCCCTCCACTACACATTTATACATTCTTGAAGTCATTCTGTTTTGCTCCATTCTCTCTACATGTCCAAACCACCGCAACAACCCCTCCTCAGCCCTCTGGATAATAGTTTTGGTAATCCCACACCTCCTAATTTCCAAACTACGAATTCTCTGCATTATATTCACACCACACATTGCCCTCAGACATGATATCTCCACAGCCTCCAGCCTCCTCCTCCATTGCAACATTCATCACCCATGCTTCACAACCATACAAGAGTGTTGCTACAACTATACTCTCATACATTCCCCTCTTTGCTTCCACAGACTCCTAATGCACCACTCACCCTTTTCCCCTCATCCTTCACAGACCCCTCTGCTGACACATCCACTCCTAAATATCTGAATACATTCACCTCCTCCATACTCTCCTTTCAATCTGATATCCAATCTTTTGTCACTTATTCTTTTTATCCTCATCACCTTACTCTTTCCTATATTTACTTTTAATTTTCTTTTACATACCCTACCAAATTCATCCGCCAACCTTTGCAATGTCTCTTCAGAATCTCCCAAAAGCAGTGTCATCAGCAAAGAGCAACTGTGACAACTCCCACTTTGTGTTTGATTCTTTATCTTTTAACTCCACACCTCTTGCCAATACCCTCGCATTCACTTCTCTTATAACCCCATCTATAAATATATTGAACAGCCATGGTGATATCACACATCCTTGTCTAAGGCCTACTTTTACTGAGAAATAATCTCCTTCTCTCCTACATATTCTAACCTGAGCCTCGCAATCTTCATAAAAACTCTTCACTGCTTTCAGTAACCTACCTCCTATACCATACACCTTCAACATCTGCCACATTGCCCCCCCTATCCACCCTGTCATATGCCTTTTCCAAATCCATAAATGCCACAAAAACCTCTTTACCTTATCTAAATACTGTTCACCTATACGTTTCACTGTAAACACTTAAGTCTACACACCCCCTACCTTTCTTAAAGCCTCCTTGTTCGTCTGTTATCCTACTCTCCATCTTACACTTTACCAGGCATATTCAACAGACTTATTTCCCTATAATTTTTGCACTCTTTTATCCCCTTTGCCTTTATACAAAGGAACTATGCATGCTCTCTGCCAGTTCCTAGGTACCTTACCCTCTTCCATACATTTATTAAATAATAGCACCAACCACTCCAAAACTATATCCCCACCTGCTTTTAACATTTCTATCTTCATCCCATCAATCCCAACTGCCTTACCCCCTTTCATTCTACCCACTGCTTCACGAACTTCGCCCACACTCACAACTGGCTCTTCCTCACCCCTACAAGATGTTATTCCTCCTTGTCCTATACATGAAATCACAGCTTTCCTATCTTCAACATTTAACAATTCCTCAAAATATTCCCTCCATCTCCCTGATACCTCGAACTCTCCTCTTTTTAACTGTCAAATCCATTTGTTCCCTAGGCTTCCTCAATTTATTAATCTTGCTCCAAAACTTTTTTTTTCTTATTTTCAACAAAATTTGTTGATAACATCTCATTGCTTCACAACTCTCTTAACCTCTCATATGCTAACTTTTTCTCCCTTACTACTCTCTATACATCATTCCACCAATTGCTCTTCTTCCCTCCTGCACCCACTTTCCTGTAACCACAAACTTATGCTGAACACTAACACTATATTCTTAAACCTACCCCATACATCTTCAACCCCCCTTTGCCTATACTCTCACTAGCCCATCTATCCTCCAATAGTTGTTTATATCTTACCCTAACTGCCTCCTCTTTTAGTTTATACACCTTCACCTCTCTCGTACTTGCTGCTTCCATTTTCCTTGTATCCCATCTACCTTTTACTTTCACTGTAGCTACAACTAGAAAGTGATCTGATATATCTGTGGCCCCTCTATAAACATGTACATCCTGAAGTGTACTCAACAGTCTTTTATCTACCAATACATAGGATAGGAGTGAATGGAGGCGAATGATACTTGGGACCTGACGATCTGTTGGAGTGTGAGCAGGGTAATATTTAGTGAAGGGATTCAGGGAAACCGGTTATGTTCATATAGTCGGACTTGAGTCCTGGAAATGGGAAGTACAATGCCTGCACTTTAAAGGAGGGGTTTGGGATATTGGCAGTTTGGAGGGATATGTTGTGTATCTTTATACGTATATGCTTCTAAGCTGTTGTATTCTGAGCACCTCTGCAAAAGCAGTGATAATGTGTGAGTGTGGTGAAAGTGTTGAATGATGAAAGTATTTTCCTTTTGGGGATTTTCTTTCTTTTTTGGGTCACACTGCCTCGGTGGGAGACAGCCGACTTGAAAAAAAAAAAAAAAACATAGCCCAACAAACTACTGTCATTACGCCCTACATCATATCTTGTATACTTATCATCTTTTTCTTAAAATACATATTACCTATAACTAAACCCCTTTCTATACAAAGTTCAATCAAAGGGCTCCCATTATCATTTACACCTGGTATGCCAAACTTGCCTACCACACCCTCTCTAAATGTTTCTCCTTTAGCATCTAGGTCCCCTACCACAATTACTCTCTCACTTGGTTCAAAGGTTCCTATACATTTGCTTAACATCTCTCTCATCTACATTCCCCTCTTCTCCAGGTGCATACACACTTATTATGACCCACTGTTCACATCCAACTCTTATTTTAATCCATATAATCCTTGAATTTACACATTTATATTCCCTCTTCTGCTTCCATAACCGGTCCTTCAATATTATTGCTACCCCTTCCTTAGCTCCAACACTCAGATACTCCTGACTTAATCCCATTTATTTCTCCCCACTGAAACTCTCCTACCTCCTTCAGCTTTGTTTCACTTAGGGCCAGGACATCCAACTGCTTTTCATTCATAACATCAGCAATCATCTTTCTTATCTGCACTACATTCAAGCATCCCAGTTTTATATTTTTTTCCTCATTTTTAGTAATTGTGTACAGGAGAAGGGGTTACTAGCCCATTGCTCCCAGCATTTTAGTCACCTCATATGACACACGTGGCTTACAGAGGAAAGATTCTTTTCCAATTCCCCATGGACAACAGAGAAAAAAAAAAGAGCAAGAGATATTAAGAAAAAGAAGAAAAACCCTAGATGTGTGTATGTATATATATGCATGCCTGTGTAGTGTGACCTAAGTGTAAGTAGAAGTAGCAAGATATTCCTGTTATCCAGCGTGATCGAGACAAAAAAAAGACACCAGCAATCCTACCATCGTGTAAAATGGTTACAGGTTTCTGTTTCAGTCACCTGGCAGGATGGTAGTACTTCCCTGGGTAGTTGCTCTCTACCAGCCTACTACCTACAGATGGATTTAGCCCTTATAAAATAAAAGGGGAGGGTAGAACAAGAAATAAACAACAATGTGTAATGCATTTATTCTTTAATACACTTCTGATTGTTCTATTATCGTTTAGTAACACATCTTGGTAAAATAAAATAAACTATGCCTGGCTGACATTTTTGTGTGGAAATTCTTTATATATTTTCAGAAGATACAACATAGAAAATATGCAATGTTAAAAAATGCCTTAGGAAGTGGTTTACAAGGGTAAAATTGGTTGCATCTCTAAGCTTAATCTAATATGCTTTGTAGTTTGTAAGATATTTACTGTATTACTAATCCTTGCTAATCCATGCCTGGTGATTACTAATATACTAACAGACTAACTTTTTTGTGACATATTAGGAGTATCTTTCACAGTTCTTATTGTGCACAAATTATTCAGTCTGAAATATAGCTTGTGTACACAAAATAATTAAGTAAATATATTATTCACAATATAATTAAACATTATTTTAAAAACTTTTGTCTGATAAAACTTGTGTTGCAGGCCCCTGGCGGCCTGTTGACTCCGATGGGGAATGCTGACGTTACAGAGGACTCGGGAGGTGGTTGTGAAGGAGCACCATCCCCTGGTCGTGTTTCTGAGCCACCAGTATCAACTCCAGGCACACCTCATGCCAGAGCCACACCAATGATGACCACCACACCTTTAGAATCATCACCTACTGCTACAGTTGCACCGCCAACTCGCAGTGATGAAGGTGCTGTAAGGGACTTGGAAGCAGCCATGACGAGACACTTACCTGATGATACAACAGATTTCTCAACTGATGCTCTGCTCAAGACAGGAGGCACATCAGCTGCCATAAGTAATACTGGGCACCGCTCTACTATTCAGTGGGTAGGGGGCACGAGTGGACAGCAGGGATCATCTTTACCAGCTTCTACTCTTTTAAGACAACTCTATGCAAGCCGTGAGAGTGTCATACGCTCGTCTGTTCAGCGATCCTATTATTCAGAAATGGGTTCAGCTCTCCCAACCCCACCAGGATCTGAGGGTTATCAGGATACAATGTTCAGCAAGGGACATGATTTTCCATATCCTGGAGGTAGCCTTGCAGGATCTGGCTATCCTGATTATCATTCTGCCATGACGCCACCATCGAGTGTTTCACCTCGTGAAAAAATGGCTGGTGATTGCAGCGACCTGCGAGGAGCAACAGGAACCTACCTAGGTGATGGTGGTGGTATGCCTGCCCAGCCTGTGCCTCTTAAACCACAAGTATATTCTTATGGGTCCTCGGGAGTGCCCCTAGACTCTTCATACTCTGCACCACTCTCCGACCAAGCTGGACTGTACACACCTTCCAGTTTTCACCTCTATCATGCAAATACAACAAAGTCCACATCATCATATGATAGTCTACGTGCTGGTGGGTCTTGGTATGCACCCTCATCATAGCAACAATAGTGTCCATAATTCTTCCTAGATCCCAGGCTTTACCATGCACAACAGCCTGATGTCTTTATGAACATCAGAAGTGAGGTGTAAATGGGGTCAGACTCATGGAACTTCAAAGTTTTAAGCTATATTCTAATTACTGAAATGCATTCTTTAGCCTGCATTGTAGTGAAAATATTTTTACAGCACATGCAGTCTTCAGTGAGTATGAAGTGAGCAGTGACACTTTCTCCAAACAGTATTCAATAAGCAGTATGCATGTAGGCTACTAGTGCATCGACAATACCTCCCTTGTAAAAAAAAAACTATATTCAGTAACAGATCACATCATAGTGTGGTTATAAGGAGTGTGTTTCTACAGCTCTGTTCGTCTGTCTTCCACGGGCTCCCCTGGATACATATCGCAATTTTTTTTTTCATTGATTAGCCAAGCTGTAAGAATAAACTGATGCCAGTTTCCTATGGAGGTGAAATAAGCTCATGGGAATGAGTTAAAACATATCCATAATGTCTGAATCAGTCTTGACTAGGTAGGGCCTGAGGAATTTTTCAAGTCATTCCTCTTAGAGTAATATATTGTAATATTTTTAGATTTATTATAGTTATTGCAATTGTCACACTGTATTTGATCCATACAAATGATGAAGTATTAAAGACAGTTTTTAGAAAATATTAATTAAAATTATGAATGTATTAATTGAATAAATTATAAAAATAATAGAAACTAAACCTACACACACTTTTCTGTCATGAACGACTTGAATGAATGAATAGAACAGAAGGGAACTTGAATGGTAATACATGCATACAGTAGACCCAATCCTGTAACTGCTCCGACAGCTTAAAATAACATTTCACAACCAGCACTTCTGCGACATTGTTTCAGCAGCATCAACTATGATCCTGCTCTCTTAACCCACAGCCTCATCAGCTTTCAATGTGCATTAGTTTTCATTCCCTCAAACCCATATACATACTTGAACTTGTGACCAATTGTAATGAACAACTGTCATTCTTCTGTTTATTCATAGACCTTTGTTTAATATGACTTGAATTTATGGACTACGTGGCTTTGAGAATAGATGTACCATGGAAGCTTTTGAGACTGGGATGACGAGACAGTTGGTGCTACTTAATCCTTGTCACAGAACTAATTTTAAAACCATCCTATTGTAGTAATAAAGGTAGAATTACCGACAATATGTTCGGTTTCAAGTGTGTTCTTTTACCTGTGTGGCAATGTTCTGCTGTTCAGGAGCTGTGTCAAGCCATTATAAACAATAAAAGGGCAGAGGGTATATATAGGTACCATGGGGTCAGTATGCTTACTCTCACCTCATGTGGTACTTACGTATACCCTTTGTAACAGCCTGACAAAGCTCCTGGAGAGAGAAAAGGTGCCCCAATGTCACATTAGTTGCACGTGTGTCCTGTTACCTAACATCCTATTATAAGCTCTGTGGAAGAGTGGTTACAGCATTGCGCCTGCTATATGCATGGACTATGGTTCAAGTCAGTGCACAAGATAAAATTGAAATCTGTATTTTTAGCATACTAATTATATCAGTGTTATTAGTATTTCAGTTCATCCTTGCACTGTACAGTGTGCTCAAACCCCTGGCAAGCTAGTCCTAAAACTAGCAGGCCAATGTGCTAGCTATACAAACCATACCACGGGCGGGGATAGAACCCACGATCAGAGTCATAAAATTCCAGACCTACACAGTAGCCACTGGGCCAGCTGGCTACAATAAGATTCATCCAAGCTGGCCTAGTGGCTAGAGCATCGGTCTAGAGTTTTATGACTCTGAACGCGGGTTCTATCCCCGCCCGTGGTATGGTTTGTTTGCAATCGTGTCATTACGATTTCGTGAATCATAATGCTAGCTATACCTTTATATACCTTTGAAGAGTTTTATTACTCCCGGAGCCCGGCCATAGGCCAGGCTTGCCTGGTCAACCAGGCTGTTGCTTCAGGAGGCCCGCTACCCCACATATCCATCGCAGCCTGGTTGATCTGGCACCTGGTGAAGATACTTGTCCAGTTACCTCTTGAAGGCCTCCAGACGAGCCTGGCCCATGGCCGGGCTCTGATAGTGAAACTCTTCAAAGGGATATAAAGGTATAACTAGCACACTGGCCTGCTAGTTTTAGGACTGGCTTGCCAGGGATTTGAGCACTCCATGCAGTGCAAGGATGAACTGAAATACTAATAACAATATAATTATGCTAAAAATGCAGATAAGATTCGTCCAACTACGTATGTTTTTATACACCATGGGGAGGTCATGGTGGTAAGAGATTAATTTGTTAAATTTCTGTGTTATGGTCATAGTGGGACCTATGCTAACCTTTGTGATATATAGAAATGTACCTAACTGGACAAATCATATTAGGCTAGCATGATCCAGTGGATAATGCATTGACCTGCTAGTTTTAGGACTGGCTTGCCATCGTTTCCAGCCCACCGTGAATTTTTTTTTTTTTAACATTCTGTCATTACAATGTATCGAGTCAATTCAGCCCGTTTGACCAACTGCCTGAAAACCACATTTACATAAATCCCCCCCCCTCCTCACACACACATACATACCGAGGCTCCTCTATTTGCTGTTTACTTACTAGTTGGAATCAGGTTGTACAACACCAGAAATTTCAGGTCTCTCATTCTTGCTGTGAGCTAATCCACGACCAGCAGACCAATCACTGTTGAAATATAACATTTTCAGAACTATTTAATATACAAATGCTCATACTATACAGGTGTATTTCATACCTTTTGTACAACAATACAATGTCTCCCCATTAGAGCATAATTTCAGATAAAACCTTGGGATCAAACAGCATCTGGAGATAATCAGGTTTGATCCAAGTGGAGGGTAGTTCCAATTCCCTGGATCAAGAGGCCTTCATTCCATTTCCAGGAGTGGTGTGGAGGGCGCCACCTTACACCACACGTCATCACACAATGACACACACACTGGTATTGAAGAACAAAAAGGCACAATACCATGACTGGAACAATACACAAATAACCAGCACATAGGAAACAAACTTATGACATTTTGGTCCAATTTGGACCATTCACTAGTCACAGGCATGAATAGTTAACCCCTTCAGGGTTTCGGCCGTACTAGTACGGCTTACGTGCCAGGGTCCTCGACGTACTAGTACGCAAAAATTATAGCACCTTCAAATCTAGTGAAAGATGGTAGGCCTACATATGAAAGAATGGGTCTATGTGGTCAGTGTCCACAGTATAAAAAAAAAAATCCTGCAGCACACAGTGCGTAATGAGAAAAAAAAACTGACCGTGTTTTTGGATTAAAACCGCAACTTTGCACTGTATTTTCGTATGGTATTTATTGTTGTATTCTAGTTTTCTTGGTCTCATTTTATAGAATGGAAGACATATTACAGAAATTGAGATGATTTTGACTGGTTTTACAATGAAAAGTACCTTGAAATTGAGCTCAAAGTAGCAAAAATGTTCGATTTTTACCAAAGCTCAAAAGTAAAGAAATCATGCTAAGCGTCCAATACACGTCAACTGGTAAGTCTTTCACAAGTGCGCCGATATTATTTATACCATTTCTACACTAATGCAGTAGTCTGCATAACAGCAAATCTTCTATTTTTTGTGAGAATAAAAATACATAATGGAAAGCAAAAGAATGTAAGAGGGGCGTGGGGACGTGACTAATGAACAGAGGAAATGTTATTTTAGTGCCAGGAATGTCTTTCTTGTTTATTCTGGACCCTACTTGGAAATTGGCATCTTTTGAAATTTGTGTGAAATTAGCAAAATTGCTAAATTCTGACCACTTTATTGGATAGTTGAAATCGGTAAATGGGTGGTTTCTTGTACTCATTCGATAGAAAAAATGGAGTTCTAGCAAAATAGTTATGATTTTTGTCGACTACTACACTGGAATTGGCTGGAAATAGGGCTCAAAGTGAGCAAAATCACCGATGTGTAAACATCGTCGAGACCGCTAACTTCACGAGAGCATAATTTCGTAAGTTTTCCATCAAATTTCATACTTTTGGTGTCATTATGACCGGGAAAAGATTCTCTATCTTCTCATCAGAAATTTTTTTTTTTTTTTTAAATTTGGGGGGACCCTGAGAACAAGTCTCTGAGAGGGCCTGTGGACCCTGAAAGGGTTAATGGTCCAAGTTGGACTGAAATGTCACGAGTCATAAGTTTGTCTCCTTTGGACTGGAATTGTCTGTACAACTGTACTGTGACCTGCTTATGATCAGTCATCACTTTTGCTGTGTGGAGTCCTCAGTGGTGACTATGACTACATTTGGAGCTAACTCGACGGTATTCAGTACTGGGAGAGAAATTTACAGCAACATTTGTTATCACTGACACTCTTGAGAAAAGTGTTTGGTAGTAATATCTTTATTTCTCCAAGTACATGTACAATGTATACAAGCCTAGCTGACATCAATGACACTTCTACTACAGTATACAGAAAGCCGCTTGTTATGCAGAGCATTTTGGGCAAATTAGGTAAATTTTGTCCCAGGATGCGACCCACACCAGTCGACTAACACCCAGGTACCCAGTTTTACTGATGATAAACATGGATAACAGGTGTAAGGAAACACGCCCAATATTTCCACCCTTTGCCAGAAATCGAACCCGGACTCTCACCATGTGAAGTGAGAACTTTTGCCACCAGGCCATGTGCCACCGTGGATTAGTTACTGCAATGACTGGTAAATGCATTCTCCCATGCATGCCAACACTATTGCACAATTCAATACACATTCCAACTCTCCAATACACACTCCAAATGTCAAAAGGACAACTTAACCTCATCATTTTAAGATTAGCAAGACTAATTTGTAAGCAATATGCATTTCAAAATACGTATAAACAACTAGGACAGTACAGTTAGTAATGTTGGTTGGATTCTTAGTGGATAGAGGATCAAGCCACCACTCCTTGTGCTGAATGACCCATACAAGTTTGCCATGGCATGGGTAATATAACTTTCATATAAAAAATACCAATGTGTCTGGTAAAAAGAGTTGTTTCAATGAATATCAGATCACTGATGCTCAATCATATCCCCCATAAGTGAGGCTTCACTGTAATGTTTTTATTTGCATAATTGTGTGGAACATCAAAGTTCAATGAATACTTTTCTATAAAGTAAATCAACTCGCATAGTGACAAAAACAAAAAGAAATGGTTCTCTATATTTCAACCTCGGTCCGAGGTGCTCCTCAGCAGCATACAAAAAAAAGTGAGCAAAATAAATGTTAGTTTGGCTGGGAAATCTGGTAAGCATCTGGGACTGGTGGTCCACGTTAAAAAGGCAAAGCTCTATTTAAATTATATGACATCTTGTTGCGGTAGCGAGCCACTTGGAGACAGGGTGCAATGATGTGGCAATTCCCAATTAAACGTGGTTGTGGGAAGTACTATTTAATAAAAAGCTGGTTATTACATCTGATTATAGCTGTACCTTTGATATGTTTAAGTTCTTAACTGATTAATGGTGCTTCTAGGCTTTTCTTTTATATGAACCTTCAGTTATATCATTAATAGCTGTACATTCCCAAACTATTATACAAAATGTGTATTACTCTGTAATCTGCTGAAGAGGACTTGAGACCATGGTAGAGATGCACAGAACTTTTTACGCGAGGTTTTTCATATATGCAATAATATTACAGTTAACAGGTGATATAACATGCAGAACCACCACTGTGAAAAATTAGTGAAATTTAAAGCACTTTCGTGATTTCTCGCATTATCAAAGATCTGTAATAAGAGAACAGAAGCTACATAAGGCTAAGATATCACCTCACAGTCAGTCTTATTATGATGCAGTCGAGATGGTGGAGGACTTGTCATAGCTTAAATTCTTCCCAAATTTTATTAATTTAAACGAATCTAATTTGTATAATCCTAAACCAATATTCATATTAGAATCAAAACTGTTTTTTATGAAGCTCGATTCAATTATATTTCAACCTTAGACCTGCTTGATACAGCTTTCTCGGCCCTTTGAAAACCAATTGATGGTCAAAAATCTCTCACGTGAGTAAATGGAGCATTAGACTTGTCCACTTCTAGTGCTATATTTATGATGTAGTCTTAGTTCAAGGCTTTTCCCAGAGTGACCGTAAATTTTATTACATTTATAAAGGGAATCTTGCACAGCCATCAATATTTTGGGGGGAATTTTTAATTGGAAGTTTTTTTTTACTCTACTAAGTTTTTTAAATACAATTTTGATTTTAAAATTCTTAAGTAGAGAAGGTATATCAAGAAGGTTTTCATGGTAAGGGAGAACCAATATACAGTACTCTTTGTTAGATATGACTTTGTCCTTCTTTGAACTGTAAAATGTATTACTAGGAATTTTAAAGCATTTATCAGTTAAGTATTTTGGGCATTTTAGATCATTAGCAATTTCATAAATTTTCAACATT